AAAAATAATAATCTTGGAATAAAGCTGTTATAAAGAAATCAAAAACAATAAAGAAATACGGTTTAGCATTTCATCATAGAAATAAAAACAAATGGTATGATGGAGAAATTATCTTAATCCATGATAGGTAGTGTCAACTTCTTCCTTGAAAAGCCTTTCAATTAACAGAACGTTGCTCACCTGACAATTGTTAAGAATTCAACTTTTTTTTTTCTGTTGATGGAAACTTCTCAGATTGTTTTGTAATGTCAGCATCTCTTTCGGAATCCCCTTTATTTCATTTGGCATTTAGCAATGATATTCTCCCCTGCTCTTATCTTTTGTTTTCTAATCTAGAAATAGAAAGGCTCTTACAAATTACCATTTCTCTGCAGGTAGAGGAACTCTTCTCTTCTTTGTGTCTCCAGATGATGTTCAGAAAATGCTTTTGTTTGTTATTTGATTCAGGTTAACCTAACAGAAACCAGATGACCCTTCACTTATAACAGCAGACAGACATCTTGATGTGTCTTTTTTGTAAAATACTAGAAGTGAATTCATGGGTTGCTTTTTTTTAATAATGTAATATACTGAGCATACCTACTTTTAATAAATTCGTATTCCTGCAATGTAACAAACATTTCCTTTCAATAGGGTCCAAACCACTTCATGCTAATAAAACCTGTATTATGCAACGTTCTCTTTTCATCCCCTATAGTGAAGCCATACTTTGTAAAGATTTCTTAAACTGCAATATTTTAAGGTTATATAATCCTATAACCCTGTAAAGCAATTTTTACATTGTCAAGCATTTTTTTTATCTTGATACCCAATTTCTTAAAACACATGGTTTTCTAAAAAAAATGTTTTTGTAGAGTTTTTTCGAAAGAGGTTCTCATTATTTATATTTTAGTTCACATGACAGAGAACAACCTTACTACTGCATTTTATAATTATTTTACCATTGGATCAATTTCTAAATGAATCATGACTAAAAATGAGCAGTTGTGTAAATAAATTATCGCCATTTATATTGCGCCAACAGATTCTGTAGCGCTTTACAATATTATGAGAGGGATGTAACTATAAACAGGACAATTACAAATTAACATTAGTTCTGCTAGAAAACGTGTATGTAGTGTAATTATACAAGATGCCCACTCACAATTTAATATATTGTTCCTCATACTATCTTTAAATATAGTAACTTTTCCTAACTGATGCCTTTAGTTAAATTAGTTGGGTAGATTGTAGTTGCAGGCCTAAGTTACATTAAGTTAATATAATTTTCTTATGTGTTTTGATCCATTCTCATGAATGATTGGATTTCCAACCTGTATCATACTTCTATAGTACCTTCCTTTCCACTTTCAACATGTTAGGGCAGGGCTGCACAATTCTGGAATGCAACAAAAACCATCACGTTAAATCAGTGAAATCATTTTATGTATTTTGTTTTTCAGTTTGCCATCAGTTGCTACAATGTGCCTTGTTAATATAATTTAATGTTTTTATAGGTTTTTCCAGACCTAAGCAAAAATGTGTCCCCTGCCTTTACGGAACAGTATATATTAAAATTAGGTTCTCAACATAGTATCCCAACAATGCACACAAGTACATGTACAAACCCCCTTGACGATTCTACCATTAGCGACCAGGCGTTATGCTGTAATTAAGGACATGGAGAAGATACCCATCTGTAGTGCTGTCATGGATGTATCCAGAAAATTATATATTTGTATATACTTTTTTTTCCACATTAAGTTCTCATCATAGTAACCCAACATTTCACTCAAACAGAAACACCATCTTTTAATGTGGGTACTTGGGGATCTTTAAGATCACGCATACTGCCATTTTACATTGGCATCTATCAAGAGACACCTACCTTACTAAAGAGCACTCTTCTTCCCCAGTCTTTGGGCATTGTCTCAACTCATCACAACGCTTGCATGTGTAGTATAATCGAAGCTGACTAACCACTACTGTTAAACAGAATTTGTTGCTGTGAAACTCAAGATGAGATTGTTTTAGAGTAAGCTCCTATTCCTCTTGAGGATAAGTCAATTTTGCTTTATTTAGAAATGTTTACATGCATTAAAACTATTGACTTGAATAGAATGTGCAGTTAGCTCATACCATGACAGGCAGCACCCGTTATCTATAGGGTGATGACAAAGCATCTAACTTTGATCATTTTGCTTGCCCAGTCCTAGTGAACTTTCAATTTAACGTAGCTTATTTAACGTAAGCACATTTCTATGTGCGCATATATAAGTGATTTCTGTTTGTCACTTTTACTTGTTTAAACTTTGTACTTCAGTTTAAAAGCTTAGTATTTCCAAATGATAAATCTGGAGACTGAAACTTATTAAATTATGAAAATACAGATTAATTTGAGATATTTATAAATGTGTTTTCCCTCCCATATGATAAAAGTCCACTGACCCACAACTGCAAAGTATTAATGGAGTTTCACTTAAAATGATTTTGAAGCTAATCACAATTAGAACTTGAGTCTTCGTTAACAGGCAGACCTGCTAACAAACTATGTTACCTGGATTTAATTGACTTATCTGAAGTTGCAGGCAAAAGTTTAATGATCGCCAGCAAAATTTCCAGTATGATAAAACTAATTTACATATATTGACTTAGGTAAAGTGATCTTTGCAAGATTTTCCATGTCGAACTGAAATCACCATTCACATAACTAGTATCCAAATCCTCATACCTGAATTCCTTTGAGACTTGTGTAATGTTCAGTAACTTGTAGTCTAGGAAGAACACTTAAGAAATGCTGATATATGGACCTTCTGGAACTGACTTGGTACTATGGACCTCTTGGCGGGGTCTTGAAACTACAGACTGCTTGGCAGTAATGTGATAATATGGACCCTTCTTGGAAGACATTTTAGTGCAGTTCAAGAATTCCCACAAGGGATACCAGACCACCAGAAGTATGTTCTCCCAGTGAAGCGGTTTCTAGCGTGCCAAAAACAATTTCAGCTTTAAAAACATGAAAGGAAAGAAAATCCAGTTATTGTAACCTAAAAGGGACTATAATAATGTTTATTATATGGTTTATGGCATATATTCCTATTGATGGGGGGAGTGTAAAAGCAATATGTACAATAGCCATATTTGAAGATAGAAACTGTGACATACAGCCACATATCTGAATACCTTTGAAATGCTTCATATGACCAGAACCCTGTCAAACCGTATGTAAGCCTCATTTGAAAGCATCTTTCTTTTGAAGAGCTGGTTATCTGCAAATCATCCTACGGTGAATGGGCTTGGTAAAACCAGGAAAGAAAAATGTTGAACAAAGAACTATCTGAAAAACATGCATGGAGAAAAACAAAAATTCTGTTCCTGTAGGCACTGGCAAGCGTCACCTATGAGTCAAGAATAACAGCTATTTAAAGTTCATATAATCTAAGGCTGCATCTTAGCTGACCCAAATCCATTTTGTATAAAAAATATATATATAAATTTAAAAAGCACTGTATGAACTGAAGGCAAACAGTGCATTTAGCTAAATGCAAAGGGATGTATTTAAACTATAAATCAAGCAATTGCAGGGTTACAAAATTGATACTGTTAAAATGCAAACGCATGCATTACTTGAGAATAAATTATATATTTGTCCTGTATGGGAGATAACACCCTGAATTTAATGGATGGAAAATGTTCATTGTTACAGAAGATTGGAACTGGAATAATGAAAAAAATAGTGGCTGGAAAAATAGCTACTGACAAAAGTTGAGGATAATACAGTACCCTGTAGGGTCACATGAAAGATATGCCTTTGCCAGATATTAAGCTTAATGTCAGCACAGCCTGATGGGAAAATGGTCCACCTACACCAGGCCCCTCCTATGTGGATATGTTCGCCTTAATATGAAGACAATGTTTTCCGCATGTGTATTCTGCACAGGTGTTGTGAATATACTAGAATACATGCAATGTCGCAGACCTTTCCACAGACTTATCTGCCAGAGATGCTGCTCACTTTAGTGCTTTGACTGTTCACATCCTCCACTGAGAATAAGCAACCTGTCCAAGGAAATTAAACCAAACATTGTTCAGAAACTGAAGTCATCGTCAGTTTGATAAGACAACCCATTAAGACTTTAAAAAAAAAAAAATGATATGTACCCATTATAACCAATTAATGTGCACTAATTTTTTTTGTTTAAAAGGTTGTAAAGTACTTAGCATCTTTAGGAACTCTGGTCCATTGATAGCGGTGGAACACAATATGAACATGTGAGGACATGTCGCGTTTACCTGAAAGATAACCACCAAAAGGTTTGTATGACCTCCCAGCAATGAGACATAGAAACAGTTGTAACTCTGTACATTTTAATTAAACTTAATTTTACAGATTTCCAATATATACATTCATAAAACATTGCAAAAATACAACAAAGAAAGATCTTACTTGGAAATACATCTTTACCAGAGCATATGCAGAAGGAACCATCTGATGCACTGAGAAACACCTGACTGTGGTAGTAAGAAAACTACCTAGGAAGGAATTCAAAACATCCACATGTGTTACAACTAGCAGGACAAACCACAGAAAAGTATGGTTACTTGAAGGCAATACGTGAAAGTATTTGCCACATTTCAGCACGTGTATAGGAAGGGATGTAGACTACATAGGAGTATAGTTTGTCTTGTTGGAAGATATTGGGATTTATTAAAACTGGAAACCAAGAATAGTTACAATTCTAAACTGCTAACGTTATGTAATAATAGGGAATTGTGAGAATGACGCCTGAGAAGTAATCAGCGGTCACTGGGGGAAAAAAGTTATTAGCCTAGATCTAAAATTACTCAGCTGAAGCAGCTGCTATTGGTGGAAACTTGATATGGACTGCTAAAGTAAACATATTGAAGGAATATAATTAAATTCCTCAAGTGATGAATATTGGAAACCAGGTGGATAACTTTTTACTTGAGTGCTTACCAAAAAGGGTGCCTTATAATGACCCAGTGAATTCTTGATAGTCTGCAGCCTAGCCATTGGGATGCAGTGTGTGCTTACCAAAGGGTTGTAACAGCATAATGGCCACCCACCAGAGGATGCTGAATCTTCAGGATGGTGTGGATTTCATTTATGAGAAGCTATACGCTGACAGAAGCAAACAAACAAAATAGCTAAATGGTTACCAAAAAACTGTAAATAACTAACTCAGACTTGGGAGTGAGGTGAAGTTAAAAAATAAGGAGGGTTATGGTCAAGTTTTACATAAATACAGTTATCTAAACACAAATGCAGTATGAATTAGAACATTAAAAAGTAAGCAATATGATCAAAAAATAGTTACAGGTTGTGCAATTTAAATTATTAATGAACAGTGAAACCAATACTTGCATTACAATATGGACATACTACAAAGTTGCACATAGTTATAGCAAATTGCTACATTCCCTTGGAAAACCGGAACGAAAATACCAGATTTCAGATAAAATCCTCATTTTGTAAACACTCAAAACATAAGTGGGCGGCTGGTGACGGTCATCAATTTCAGCATTTCGAAAGTTCATATCTGTAACAAAGTCTTTGTGTTGGCAACTCCCATTGCATGACATGTTTAGATGGTCCACGCTCAATGAATCTGATAGAAATTATTAGCACATGTACATTTATCAACCATTTTAAGGCTCCACAAATTCTCACTAAATTCCAGCTGCTTCAAAATAACACCAACATTCTACCACAATGACAAATTACTATTCTGTTTAATAAATCTAGACAATGCCTGGTCTGGATCAGTGTGTGGGAGGGCTGCACATAAACCATCCCACTACTTTAGCATTTAGCCCCGCCCCTAATCAGTGTGAACCAATCAATGGTCTAATACAGAACATGCGCGTCACAAAAAAAAATGACTACACGACAATGAGTAATCCCCGCCCCCACAGAGAAGCTCGGCGGCCATCTTTATCAGTAAAAACAGGGCGTCGTCAGAAACCGGGGAATTCCTTGTACATTGTGTGTCGGAATAATAAATAATCACTATTCCCGGCTGTAATAACCTAATCTGATTTATATAGGAAATTATAAACTGTAACGCGGATTAATCCCCATCTTCATTAACACGGGTTTAGAGATTTATTTAATGTTATTAACACCGTGCGGATCACAGACCGTGAGGTAATCTCACGATTAATAATAATCGGGGACTTTAAATATTACTCAGATTATATCCCCAATTATACACCGTGATTATAACACGCTACAACTATCCGCCCACAAAGCAATCATAATAAATATTAATAAACATTAACTGGGCGGTATAGCTGCTGTTATCGGATTTAACAATAAATACATTACATGGGTAGAATTATTACCCCCTCCATGTAATTTATATCTAGACCTTTTATCCCCGCCATACAGTATAAATATAAATAGTCCCTCCATACAGTATAAATATAACTTATACCCTCCATACAGTATAAATATAACTTATCCCCTCCATACAGTATATAGTTTTTAGTCCCTCCATACTTTAAAGTTTTTTTCCCTCGGATACATATAAAACCTATGGCTGTGGTCAGTGTTATCTATATTGAGCAGCTGGAATTTAGCTTGAAATACCTGCGGAGACTACAACCGGCGATGGAGCGTGTAAAACAGCTGATAAATAAAAGTAAAACATGAAATAACGACGTAAAAGCGATCAGCCGTTGAGGATCCTCTTCTTGATCCGGAGCGCTGCACACCTTCTTCGATACTGCGACGTGACTAAGGAGCGGTTGCCGTGGCACTGCCTATTATAACCTCCTGTCTGTGACGTAAGCGAAAGACGTTTCACCGTTAAAGTTTCCTTCCGCAGCGAACCTCAGTGAGGGACAGACAAAATAGTTCCCAATAGGTTCTATTATTATTGCTTTAATATAATTTATAAGTTAATAGAGACTAAACGGACGGCTCACCAGGTGTCTTGGTGAAAACCAGCACATTCGTATTTATTACAATAGTATATTATCTGCTCTGCAGCAGAATACTGCATTGCAGTACACTGGAACTGTTGCAATGTAAATAACTTACTAATAAAATATATACTTGGAATCTGTCAGTATTACTCACTAAGGTGAAATGGGTATCAAAAAGCACACTTCTTAGTAAATAGATAAAAAGTGGTAACCAATATAATCAATGAGATGGGCAGCTACATACAGAAAAGCCACTTGGCAAATAGTAATCTTAAATTCAAAATATATAGTATGTAGGCTCCAGAAATGTAGGTGGGTAAAAGAAACAAACAATGTTCCTATAAGTAAAAAAATATATATATATGCGTGTAATGAAATACAGCAGCTTAAATAATGAAACAAAAAAATGAATAAACAATTCCCCTCAATGTAAATAAACCTCTTAAGTAAATAATGTATCTAGTTCTTGTAACTGTTCATAACATAAACTTCCCAAATTGAAGAAAAACTCCCAACAGTTTCAATTTATACAGAAGCAGCATGTTGCAGCCCAAAGTGGAAAGTTTAATGTAAGCACAGAAAGGGGGCAGGGTAATTAAATACTGCAAAAATCTACAGAACCCCTCTCTGACACATGTATTACTAAAACAAGAAAACAGAGTAGACAATAATAATATTTAAATCGATAGGTACCCCTCTATAAGAGGAGAAATATATATGAATCAGATGTACAAAAAACAGATAGTACTTATTAGGAATCGACCGATATTGATTTTTTAGGGTGGTAGCCGATAACTTACCGTTACCGATATTCTGTACGTTTACCATTTTGAAAAAAATAAACTATTTCTACACAAATCTACTGTTAACTGAACATGTTTATTTATTTTTTTGTTTTGCAAATCTTTTTTTTTATTAAGGTAAATGATAAGGCAGCAGACTCCCTTGGATCGAAGGTGCACCACGACCGGCTGAAATAGACACTAGTCAGTGAACCTGAGGGATAAAAGACTACTGGGTACAAGATTTTTTTATTTTTATTTATTTCTTAGGAATTACTGACTGATTGATGAATCAGTGATAGCTATGGTCTATATAGCTTGCAGGAACAGAGGATAGGACATATGTGTAAACCTCAACACATTTCACAATGCTAAGCATTAAAAATATAGCTGTTGGAAACAAAGATTCTCTCAAATATTGTTCACAAATCTGTCTAAATCTGTGTTAGTGAGCACTTCTCCTTTGCTGAGATAATCCATCCACCTCACATGTGTGGCATATCAGGATGCTGATTAGACAGCATGATTATTGCACAGGTGTGCCTTAGGCTGGCCACAAGAAAACAAAGACCCTTAGGTAGGTGCAAGAAACACAAAACCCAGACCCGCAGTAATAGAATAAAGCTATCTTTCACCTCATTTTCCACAGAACTATTAAACATGGTGGTGGATCTGTGTCACATAGCAAATCATAGGGAAAATCAATAGTGATTCATAGGATATGTACTAAATATATTTGTGTTTCGTTAGCATATTTAACAACTAGGGACTTGCTCATCTAGTTAATAGTAATGTCTCCTGAGTGTGCCCAAGGCATTCCCATATTAATCTTAAATCCAAGTGTGATAGCAATGTCTCTGTATCCTGCTGTGTATAAAAACTGGAATACATTTCTGACGATACTTTGTTGCCAGCCTTTGGATTTCACATAACATCTTGGTTCATGGAAGGGGTTCTCTATTCCTTCTGTATCGGTTTGGCTATACTGTACTACTGTTTGTTATCCACAATTTTACAGCACTGCATAATATACTGGAGCTTTAGAAATACCAATAATAGTAATTAAAGTACTTGGATTCTTGCTTTTACTTTGTGATGAAGCACCTAGTATATATGACCTCAGGATCAAGAAAAAAGATGCTGCAATATGTCATAGCTTGCTTTGTTACTGCAGATATAGTGGTTGAGTCAGAATCCTGGGAACTCACATCATACCCAGCCATCAGGCACACCACAGCTGCTAAGGATTTTAGTCACATTGACTTTGACTCGTTCCATGTACAGTAAATTATTCCTTCCAAATCTAACACAGACATTAGAATTGCTTGTGTGTGTAAGCATGGAAGAAAGGGTCGGCTAACAGATTGGAAAACACAAATTTATTCCTTTGCCATTTTATGTAGTTCATAAAAGATAACTTTCCATACTGTATTAAGAGTGAGGCTACCATCAGTTTAATAATAAAAGGCAATTGCACATGTTTTTTCAAGTAGTTAAGATACTTATTCATAGATAAAATCAGACTCTGTTTTCCCATTACAATGAAAAAAAGAAGCCCAACACCCCTATGAGATCATTCAGTAAGCATGTGGGTGAGCCAAGTCTTACATTCAACCAGTCTAAACCAGTTTGTAGAACGGATCTTTATACATGTGAGTGCCTTATGTAATGTATCACTGCGCCTTGGTAAACAGAGGACATCTTGTTCTGTTTTCTGAGTATTGGTTTATACAAAATGTCTGCCATCCTCACATACTATTGTCATAACTTGGTATTCGGACATGTGATCAATAAAATATTTGCAGAGTAAAATAACAATGCATCATTCATTATATATCCCCATATATACTGGATGAGTTCCTATTTTAGTGTAATGAGTCATGTATAGACTGCATGTGATTAATTGTTTTATCCATGAGTAAAGCTGTCTGCCAGGCATGGGTTACATGTTTGAGTTAGGTAGCATGTTTTTCAGACATGGAAGGCATCCTTGGTGGGGGATCTCATTGTACAGTGCTGCTGAATTTGTTGGTGCTTTATAAATAATAATAATTTTACAGTTGGGGTTTCCCATCTCTTTGGCGAGGAATATGCATAATGATAGTGTCTGTATATGTAGTAGGGAATAGTTGAAATGTTACTGTTAGGGTGTCTGTGTTTTTTTTAATAAAAAAAAGAGTTTAGTTTATTGGGTGAGAAAAATGGTACAGTTAGACTGTGTTTATTTGTGGTAGGAAACTAAAATATTAGTTAGGGTCTTTTTTCCAGATAGTCTTTAGGTCCAAATTAGCTACATATTTCAACTAGAGTTTCTGTATCTCTGGGAGGTAATATGTTAAATGTTTCTGTTAGGGTGTCTGTCTCTTTGGTGGTAAACATGTTATAGCTAGGCTGTGTATTTCTCTGGCAGAGCACAGGTTAAATGAGAAAGTTAGGGTGTTTTTTTCTCCCTGGCAAATAATATGTTAAGTACTACAGTAATACAGCTGGTGTTTGTCTCTTGAGAAGGAATGTTACATGATAATACTTGGGTGTTTGTTTTACTGGCAGGAAATAGATAGACTATATGAATTGTTAATTAAGTGATACAGTTAGGGTGTTTATCTCCCTGGAGAGGAATAGATTAACTCATTCAGTAAAGTTGTTTTTGGGCAGGGAATAGGTTAAATTATAACTTGATATTGTCTGTCTGGTAGGGAATAGATTATTTTACATAGTTAGGGTGTTTGTTTAGCAGGGAATATGTTAAATGATATAGTTCAAGTTTTGAACCAACACAAAACCATGAATTTGAGCTATAGGTCTGATTTACTAAACTTAAGATATATCATTTTGTTCAGGAGAAATGTGGTTTTCATTTCACATCAAATTTTTACTTATGATGTTTATATTGTGTTATTTTTCCAAGTTCTGCATGGTATTTTAACTGTGAAAGCCATAATACTGTTAGCTATTACTGCAATGAAATACACATATATTTGTGTTAAGCAATGTCTCACAAGTATAACAATACCCACATGTACAGGTTTTATGTGACTAAGTGGCTACTAAAAAAGACTGGACATACCCCATTTGTAATACCTTGGGTTGTCTACTTTTGCAAATGGTATACTATCATGGGGGTTATTCTTATTCCTGGGTTACCATACTGTCTCAAAGACAACATAACCAGTCTGGCAAATTTTAATGTGTATAAACTAAAAAATGTAATGTGCTAAATTTGACCCTGTAACTTTCCAAAACACTATAAAACCTTTTCTTGGGGTGTGCTATTTTACTCGTGAGACGTCACTGAATACAAATATGTGCATTTTATTGCAGTAACAGCTAACAGTATTATGACATTCACAGTTAAAATGCCACGCAAAACTAAAAAAAATCTTAATTATTCACATATATATACATTTTATTCATATTATATATATGATCACAACTTGTACAACTGGCTCAGTCCTTAAGGGGTTAACATTGCAGCACTAAGTGCAAATGGGTCACAGCACCCAGACCAGACTTCAATTAGCTGAGGTGGTCTAGGTGCCTACAGCGTCCCTTTAATCACATCACCGTTTTTATTAGTTACATGCATTGTACAACATAGAGAGAGCACTTTAGCATTTACATTTTATTTGTTACAGCTTTAAAATATGCAGTTTTTATTGGAGTCCATTAGGTGTGGTTCTGCATACCTGGACAGAATTTAATAGTGGCAACTCAACATCACTAACATAAGTCATATTTCTAAAAAAGCCAACATAACCTTACCAAAATACAGTGGATTATCTGCCATCATACTCTGAAACAGATATCTTATGGCAGGTGCTACCTTTAATTATGGCTTCCATTACTTTCCTCCCTTCCCTTGGTGGACCTCATTACATATTTGGTAAATATGTACATTTCTATAGAATTTTGCCCAGGTTTTTTATTATAGGCTTTCTTTCCTATTAAGCCATCAATCACTATTTCCTTGATTATGGTGCATCTTTTAATTATGGTTTACTCATCACTTGTAATCCTGGACACTCACAGGATATGTGACCTAGGTAAGTCTATTAGAAGGCTTTGAAGATGATGACTGCAACATAGAAACAAGTTCTTCTTGTCAGTCATATTGGTGGGTACATTGTTGTAGTCACTGTAACCCAGCCATGAAGATTTTGAATTCTATTATTGTTGTTCCTGGTAAATTATGTGTTGAATGACATATGGTTACCATGACCAACCATTTTTATCCATATATATCAACGCCAACAAATTATGCAATGGAACAGTAATGTATGAAATGCAATTGGTGTCCTCATGAATTTAGACAAGGTTATTGTCTAAAAGAAATAAGCGTAGAAAGCTCACAAACTCTGCTATTAGATTTCTATCATACTAAATTAGTTGCTTTATTTGTGTTTGTTTTGTTTACTATACTATATACTAATCCCTCATCCAGATTATCAAAATTAATTTAGTATCATCTGGGGCATTTGGAAACCAAAGCCCAGGCACTGATCATAAGATTTATCAATGTTCAGATTTTAAATACCTGCTTGCTTATTTCTGCATAAGAGGAGTAGGCATCAAAATGCTCAGTATCTATAATAATTAATCAGAATTTGGCATCAGCAAATTTGGTTTAACCAGATTTATTCCTTTTTTTAAATCAAATTTGCAGGAAGGTTATAATTCTAATCCAAGCTAGCATATTGCAATAATCTGCCCCCGGACAGAAATTACTGTTAAAGGACCATTCTAGGCACCCAGACCACTTCAGCTTAATGAAGTGGTCTGGGTGCCAGGTCTCTCTAGGATTAACCCCTTTTTTTTTTTTATAAACATAGCAGTTTCAGAGAAACTGCTATGTCTATAAATGGGTTAATCCAGCCTCCAAATCCTCTAGTGGCTGACTCATTGACAGCCGCTAGAGGCGCTTGCATGCTTCTCACTGTGAAAATCACAGTGAGAAGACGCAAGCATCCATAGGAAAGCATTGTAAATGCTTTCCTATGAGACCGGCTGAATGCGCGCGCAGCTCTTGCCGCGCATGCACATTCAGCCGAGGAGGAGGAGAGCTCCCCGCCCGGCGCTGGAATAAAGGTAAGTTTAACCCCTTTCCTTGCCATCCAGCCTGGCGGGAGGGGGTCCCTGAGGGTGGGGGCACCCTCAGGGCACTATAGTGCCAGGAAAACGAGTATGTTTTCCTGGCACTATAGTGGTCCTTTAATCACTCCTTTTTACTGTTGTTGTTGGTAAATAATTTTGTTGTGTTTTGTATGCACTATGACTATTGGTTTGTTCATAATAAATATTCCTTTAGTAAATTCTGTCTTTGTCTGGTAAAGATTCATATTACTGGAGTAGACCAATTTATTAGTAGCTTGTTACATAGATATTATGCTAAATCTTATTTTGTGAATTTTTGGTCTAAATTGCTTGGTGGACCAAGACACCACATTTCTAAATTGTCTTTGTGGTGGTAGAATTATGATATTATTTATATGATTATATTTAAGTGTGGGTGATGTTAAGGGGGATTTTTATCATTATGATCGGACAGGTAATAAAAACAAATACTGATATATATATATATATATTCTAATTCTTTATTTTTGCTCATCTCACTGTCATGAGAGAAGCGACATCACGCCAGAAAAAATAAAGATGGAGAACAATACTGGTTTCATGAAAAAATTAACACAGACTTTGTGTAATTGGTTTCATAGACAGTGAGGTGAGTGTTTTTAGGGTTATTGAAAGGGCTGGGCATACGTGTAATGGGCGGAACGTTGAGTGGTCTCTGCAGGGGCCAACAATAGGCCACCTCAAATTTACCCCAATATCATGAGCTTTGACTAGGTATTCCATGGCTAAAGGGATGCATATAGAGGCCATTAATAAAAAGACAAAACTTAAAAGACTAAAACAGAGTGATTAAGATAGTGTTAGTGTGTTATTCTCTTATAGCCTAGGCTATCATCCAGAACATGACCCTGCGCAATTTACTGTGGGGCTGTTGGGACTTAGGATATTAGTTTTACGCTTCTGGGTATAGCCAAACTTAGTGAGTGATCGCCAAAGTTATAGAGGCTGGGGGTTAGCACTGTAAAATGGGGCATAATGACCCTCAACAGGGGTTAGCAGACGTTGTGTAAGTCAGGCATGTGGTAAGGTGTAAAACGTGTGAGAGTAGATATAATGAACTAAACAAATAACTGTAACTAAAAACATGGTGATGAGTCAGGTTGTGGCTGCTGGGTAGTTGTCCGACAGAACAAAGGGGGTGACTTTCGCCAAGTCCCATTTATGTGTCGGTGCGGAGGTGTCTCATGGACCAGGCCTGGACATATAATCCTGCGGAATGCCCAGGGTCTCTAGTAGAGCAGCTGCTTCATTCAGAATAAATAAGGAATTTTTTTAACTTCCTGTATTGCACATTCTGTTCTAACAGAATTTCTCATCTCCTACTCTCTAAATAGCCTTCTAGGCCCTACAGGACCCTCCTGTGTGTGATTGCAGTTCAAGTTACAGAGCAGAAGATAAAAACTTCTAAAACATCTGATTGCCAATGAAACCATTTTTTTATGCAGGCTGTGTCAGTCACAGCCATGGGAGGTGTGGCATAAACATTAAAAAATTATTTAACACCTAAATGTCAGAGAATTGAGCAAGGAGACTACAGGGGTACAATTTGTACTAAAACTTCCTTATTAAGCTAAAGCTATTTTGATATCTATAGTATTCCTTTAACTCCTTACACGGGTACATTATATTCCAATAGTGAAAATAAACATTTAGATTATAAAACTTGACATTTTATATAAATGTGTTATAGTTTATATGGGATTTGCTTATGAGAATTACTCATTTTAAAGCAGACACGTTATGGTACAGCATGAGATATGCTAGTTCATTTTTTTTCATATTTCTTACTAAACCGAGCAACCATCAGAAATTGCAGGGACTCACATTCTGTGACAAAAAGTAGACAATGGTCCAGGCACTCAAGGTGTAACCAAAAACGTTTATTGGGAGTGTTTGTGTTTGTAAATATGTTTTTATTGAACATTTCGTTATTTTGGTTTTTGTTTGTTATCAACATGGAACAGGAAAACATGGACACGCAGGTCCCATTGGTCATTTGTACATGCTTATACATCGTAGGGCATAGTCTGTCAGACGTGTCTTGGCGACTCGCAGGTTGCTTTCTTGAGTAAGTGGTGTGCATTGTGGCCTCGCGGGTCCGGTAGTACATAGTTACGAATAGTACTCTGTTATATCTAATGTGTACCTTTTCTACGTTGGGTAGTATTGTATGTCCCGCCAATTTTCGTCTATTCCCCCGTGCCCAACCTGTAGCCACCATGCAGTAGTGGGACATGTGGGTCACCTACTGTGTAGGGTCCCATCAGGACACGCAGCCCCCTTGCGACCTCGTGTCTAGGGTCCAGAATGGTGGTATAGTGGTGTGTTGACCCCCTACTTTGGTACAATTCGGCTCTGCCCAGCGTTAGACATGGTGTTGATGGGAATAACCTAAGGGGCATCCTGCGTTTCCTTCTAAACTAATAAAATTTGTAGCTCACAAAACTGGCGTTCTTCCACCCCTCGTACCCGTGCGGCCGTAGGCCGTTTTGGGCACCGCAGGTGGCCGCACCCCGACAGGTATCATAGCCCCCCAGCACACCCCTGAGGGGTTGGCCCCCCGCACTGCCCCCGGACCCCCGAGCCCGCGCTTCACCCGGACCTGACAGGGTAGGGGAGTGAGGCACTGCGTCTTGGGCCAGGTGTGGGTCGTCCCGTTAGGCTCCTGGTGTCTCCTCCTGGGGGTCGTCAGTTCCTCCCCCCATGGTCAAATGCACAGTCCGAAATGCCTCCGTACCCACCCGTGCCAGCCAGGGTGTCCATGTGTCTAAGTATGTCTGCATTCGGTCTTGGGCTGAATACCAGATTTCCTCTGTTACTCGTAACTCCTCCATTCTAGTAAGCCACAGGGAAAGCGTTGGGGTTGTGTCTTTTTTCCAGTACAAAGTTATTAGGTGTTTTGCGACATTAAGGATTCGGATGGTCAGGGAGCATTTGTATCGTGGTGTGGGGGTTGTCGTGTGGTGCAGGAGGTACGGGGCAGGCTGGAAGGGTGGGACATTGTCCGTGAACAGGGCCACCATGGCAGCTATTTTCTCCCAGAACGGTACTATGAATGGGCATTCCCACCATATGTGGAGGAAGGATCCTACCCCTCTCTTGCACCTCCAGCAGAGGCCGTCCGTGTCTAAGTGCATTCTCTGTAAGCATTCTGGTGTCAAGTACCATTGTGTGAGGACCTTGTAGGCCGTTTCCTGCGTTTTGCTAGCAATTGCGCAGTGGTGCACTAGGTCGCAGATCTTGTGCCACTGTTTCTCCTACGGCGGTCTCCTATTTGGACATGAGGGGGTGGGGGTTGTCCCTGTTGTCGTTGTAGCATAGAGTAGAGGTGGGAAATGTTATGGGGCATGGGCTCCGGGTCCTGGCACAACTGATCGAATTGCGTGAGGTCCCTATATACGTCGGGGTATTGTGGTATGGCAGTGATGTAGTTCTTAATTTGGGTGTATCTAAACGTCGTCATGAAGGGGTGGGTGGGTGTGCCTGTGAGCGTCTGTAGGGGCAAGATTTTCCCATTGGCAGTCATGGCAGACATGTTTTGTGGGAGGACGCAGCGGAGGTTTCCTGGTCTTACCCCCGGTTCAAAGTCTGGGTTGTTGGGGGGAGTCCTCAGTTTCAGGGAGATCTCCCCCACCGGCCCACAGGCAGTTAAATGCGGCCGGAGAGAGGCAGGAGAGGACCTGGGGAACTCTATCCAATAAGTCAGCCAGGATCCTCATGCGAGGTCGGAGCGTTGCCGCGGTTACCACCACTCAGATCTCACGAAAGTAAACTCTAGCCCTGCAGGCTAGAGTTCACTCACCACTAAGACCACCAGGGATTGCAGCATGATCCACCGTCCATGGCAGCACAGCTCCCTCCCGCCTCCCATGCTAAATATAAGAAGGAAGAGGGTGATATAACATTTGTTTTTTTTAAATTAAATAAAAAATACATATTTAAATAAACATATTCACACACACACAGCACACTCACACTAACAGGACCCTCACACATACACACACAGCACACTCATGCTAACAGCACCTTCAGACATACACAGCACCCTCACACACAGCACCCTCAGACACACACAGCATCAGACACAGACAGCACCCTCAGAAACACAAAGCACCCTCACACACACATCACCCTCAGACACACAGCACCCTCACACACACTCACACATAGCACACTCTCACACATAGCACACTCTCACACATATACAGCACACACACACACATAATATATAAAGTAACCCTCAGTGAGTTAACAGACAAAGAAAATTAGAAACATAGAAGGTGACGGCAGATAAGAACACCTTAGCACACACAGCATCCCTCTTACACATACACCACACCCCTCACACATATACACACAGTGCACCCAACACACTGCGCCCCTCAAACATACAATGCGTCCAAACATATATATATATATATATAATAGAGATAAATCTTGATAGCCAAACAATATGTCTATCAGAGACTAGGTAAGAGGGAATAAGACAAGAGTGAATAAAAGCTCAAAACTGGAAAAGGTGGGATTCTACCAAATCCCAAATGTATTAAAAGATATAGAAACAGAGCAAACCAGGAGCTTGAAGAAAGGAATGCAGCTATAAAATATCTGACAAATATAGCAATATATTAGACAAGGATATCAGCATAAATATAAAAATAAAAAACGTCAAATAGGTAGCAATCAATATAATGACCGGATGAAAAGTCCAAATAGTAAATAACTCAGTCCAAAGGTGCAAACGTCCAAATAATGCACAAAGGGTTAAGGGATATATATCATAAACCACCTTTGATCTGTTAGAATAAATATAACAGAATCAGCTGAGGTATTTATGAATTGCTCTACTTTCAAATAGACAAAAGAAGAAAGATAGGAGTGAACACATCAGCATACAGATACTAGGCTTGTTGGTATCAAAAACTAACAGCCTAATTGTCAGACTTTCATCTGTAGAATCTGGGCTGGCTGCCAAAAAAACTGCAACTGTAGTATCAACAATAGATGTACATATCAAATAAATGGATACTTCAAGTTAGGTCCGTTGAAAAAAATGACTTGTAGAAAATAGTGGTTAATTGAAAAACAGAGAAATACTTTGTTTTTTAAAAAAACATATAAATGATCAAAAGATCAAAATACTGTGTAAATAATATACTATAAACTGTTCCAAAATAGGAGAAAGTAAAAGGACTGAAAAAACCTGTTTAGTCCTTCTGGATGGCTGTGGATGATATTCTTTCCTTCCAGATCGATGTTGCAGCAGCCGGTGAGGACGGCGTCCGCGTTCTTTGAGAGATCACCTCCAACCTCACATCGAGGGGTGAATCTCCGAAATGACGTTAGGCAACAATGGTAGAATGTCGAGTCCTTACTTTCTCCAACAGTTCTCTTTGCATCAGTTACAGCCTTACGCGTTTCATAGGGTACTGCCCTATTTCATCAGAGGTACTGCTCTGGGGTCCTTCTGTCTGCTCCTCACTGCTCCCGCGCGCGGTTTAGTGATGCCGGGTGAAGTCATATTCCGACGCCCGGCTTCACTACAGACGGCGCGCACGAGGGAGCAGTGAGGAGCGAGAACACTGAGCTCCCTTGCTGCATCCACTGTCCCTTCCCCCCTGGCCAGGTAAGTGTTAGCAGAGTAGGCACCTGCAATGTGGGGAAAGCAGGTGCCTACTCTGCTTTAACACCAGCATGTACTCGCGGCTCGCCAGGATGCAAAGATGGTCCTTGTGGACACATGCACAATATGCTTTCCTTGCCCTTTTTTTCCTCTGGTATCCCATTTATGGAGACACCAGAGACAAGTTAAAAGCAAACACAGCGCAAGCATGTTATTACATTGCTTGCACCGCGCAGAACAAATACAGGGCCTTTTACTCACGATAGAACTCTTCAGCAGGGCTCTCATTGAACCAACATGCTCACTTTGAGAGGGGGCATGCTTGTCATTAGTGATGACAAAACACACCCACTCTGACCCCGCCCCTTCTCATGGGGCTGCTGTAATTGAAAAATGCTCAGCCCTAATTTTTTTCCCAGTTCGACCCTAGTCATAAACATGTTTGATGAACAAGAATTTTTACAAGAATATCGGTTGACGACACTAATTAGAGCGTAGACAAGAACAGAATGCATTATAAAACATGTATTATGTGCAACTGGTATAGCAGGATACATCTCTTGCTTTGTTATGCTTATAATGTATGCAGGTCAAACATGCTTTAAGAAAGGACAGTAATAAGGCCATTGGAAGTGAATTGGGCTATTAAAGCAAAATTAAAAGATAAGAAATTAGATGACTATGAAACATGAGGTTAGTGAGTTAGGACATGTCTGCTTCAATCAGGGATGAATCAGATCTGCAGCAATATGTTTGATGGTACAGTTTATGCAGCCAGGTATAGAAACATAGAAACATAGAATGTGTGGCAGATAAGAACCATTCGGCCCATCTAGTCTGCCCAATTTTCTAAATACTTTCATTAGTCCCTAGCCTTATCTTATAGTTAGGATAGCCTTATGCCACTTCAGCTGGAAGGCTATTCCATGCATCCACTACCCTCTCAGTAAAGTAATACTTCCTGATATTATTTTTAAACCTTTGTCCCTCTAATTTAAGACTATGTCCTCTTGTTGTGGTAGTTTTTCTTCTTTTAAATATAGTCTCCTCCTTTACTGTGTTGATTCCCTTTATATATTTAAATGTTTCTATCATATCCCCCCTGTCTCGTCTTTCCTCCAAGCTATACATGTTAAGATCCTTTAACCTTTCCTGGTAAGTTTTATCCCGCAATCCATGAACCAGTTTAGTAGCCCTTCTCTGAACTCTCTCTAAGGTATCAATATCCTTCTGAAGATACGGTCTCCAGTACTGTGTACAATACTCCAAGTGAGGTCTCACCAGTGTTCTGTACAAGGCATGAGCACTTCCCTCTTTCTACTGCTAATACCTCTCCCTAGGTAGATTCAGGTGGTGCTTGGCATATTCCCACCAGGACACAGCACTCTTTCGGCCCGAGGCCTGTGTAAGGGCCTGCATCTTGAGTCCATGGACTCTGGTCATCTCGGGACCATTTCCTTCCCCTGACCGGAGCATGCGGGGGATCTGTGTGTTGTAAGCAGCCAGCAGCGTGTGATCCTCCGCACACGTGGGTGATGCGGTAGGGCTTTGCTTTGTGTGGATCTCGGCCTAGGAAGGTGAGCGGCAGTGTTGGGAGGCGTGTTAGTGGCAGGATGTGGTAGCTTAGTATTCCTCAGCAGCTTGCTTTCCTTTTGAACCTCCTGGTGCTGTGGCAATCCGGTAAAGTGCCATGCCTGAATCCTCGCCAGAATGTCTGAAATATTGCATCAAGTCAGAGCAGGATGCATGCTGCAGGGCCAGGGAGAGGCCCTTGAGGTGAGTTCAGGCCTTGTCCGGCCGGTTGAAGGGAGGCCGCCATTTTTTTGTGCAGGTTCCTGTGGTGTGCTGCAAGGGAGTGTAGGATGAGGGGTGACCAAACAGCCCAGTGGGGACCGGGATGACCACCGCCGGTCCATAGAGGGGGTAGGAGAGCAGCTTCCACAGGTTACCGAATAGGAGTCCAGGGAGATCTGCCACCTTAGGTCTCCAGCAATATGTCACCTCGAGTTAGGAATCGATGTGCACAGGGGTATACCTCCGACTTGTGAGGTAGCTGATGTGGGGTGTAGCTGCTCAATAGCTGGGGTAAATGGCCCAAAATCAGCCCAGGATTCAGGAGCCTAGGCAAAACATTTCTGCTTTGCTCTGTGGCTAGACTCCGCCCCCAGTAATCTAGAATTTTAAAGAAGATTGATGGCAAACACACCAGACCCTGCTAAACAGGTTGTGGGCTTGCCATGTCCTGTCTGCTTTTGTATTTTAATTAATTTAATGCAGTCAGGAACAGACCAGAAATGTAACATGTCCATGAATGTGCTTTGTAAGCACAATATTTAGCAACTGCTACAGTTTGTCTAAATAGAACAGAATGTTAAGGAACATTTATGTCAAGTTGGGAAAACAAGGGGGTGATAAAACCCTAAAAAAAATGAAACCAATGCAAAATGAAAATAGAAAAATTACAGGTTTCTAACCATACTAAATTATATAATGTGACCTTTATTAAATCAATTAAAATACACAAAATAGACATAAAGCATAACACACATTTGTAATGTTTAAAAATAAATAAAAATCATCTAGCTATAATAAGATCTACAAAAGGCATCTAAATATAACAAGCGATATCTATGTCTATAATAGATGTACAGATGATGAAGTATATTCTGTTTAGCTAAGCAGACAAGATCATGCATTCTGCAGTAAAGTAAATAAAAAACTAATTGACAAAAGTAATTGCAAAACTGTAAAGATTGAATATCCTCTCATCCCAACTCAATTTTTAACAAACATAACAATGCTAATCAGTAAGTTAACCCCTTAAGGACGGAGCCAAATGTACACATTGTGAACAAAACAAAATGTAAACAAAACCTGGCATTTGCGCTACATGTCTGGCCAACCGTAATACACCTCTTTCATAGTAAATGCACCCACCCTTATTATATATCATTTTATTCAGGGGAAACAGGGCTTTCATTTAATATCAAATATTTAGCTATGAAACATAATTTAATATGAAAAAAATGGGAGAAAATACGTTTTTTTGGATTTTTTTAGTTCTACATGACATTTTAACGGTCAATGTCATAATACTGTTTGCTTTTACTGCAATAAAATACACATATTTATATTCAGTAAAGTCTCACGTGTAAGACAGTACCCCCTATGTACAGGTTTTATGGCGTTTTGGGAAGTTACAGGGTCAAATATAGCACGTTACATTTGAAATTGAAATTTGCCAGATTGGTTACGTTGCCTTTGAGACTGTATAGTAGCCCAGGAATGAAATTTACACCCATAATGGCATACCATTTGCAATAGTAGACAACCCAAGGTATTGCAAATGGGGTATGTCCAGTCTTTTTTAGTAGCCATTTGGTCACAAACACTGGCCAAAGTTAGCGTTAGTATTTGTTTGTGTGTGAAAAATGCAAAAAACGCCAATTTTGGCCAGTGTTTGTGACTAAGTGGCTACTAAAAAAGACTGGACATACCCCGTTTGCAATACCTTGGGTTGTCTACTATTGCAAATGGTATGCCATCATAGGGATAATTTTCATTCTTGGGCAACCATAGGGTCTCAAAGACACTGTAACCAATCTGGCGAATTTTAATGTGAAAAAAATGAAACGCAAGCCTTATATTTGATGCTGTAACTTTTGAAAACACCATAAAACCTGTACATGAGGGGTACTGTTGTACTCGGGAGACTTCGCTGAACACAAATATTTGTGTTTCAAAACAGTAAAAAGTATCACACATTTACTGTAGTAGCGGCTTTTTTTTTTATAGAAAAAACTCCAGATTGGTATATTGACAGAGTAAATGATCTTATATTTCTTGAGCAAAGCACACACAAATCTAATTTTGTTAAATTGGTCTGTCTGAGTGCAAGGACACTTTTGAATTTTATATTTATATAAACTTCCGAGGATGGTCAGCATCCAAAGGACTTACTTTCTGTTAAAACTTAGCTTTTATTGAACTGTCAACATTTCAGTTTAAAAACATAAACTCTGTACAGTATTTACTGTATTTACTCTACTCTATTGCGCCATCAGATCTAATGCAGACTTGAATTTTCTATTTTTATTTATTACTGGTATTTATAAAGTGTCAATAGATTCCGCAGTGCTGTACAATTAGTTAAGAACGTACAATATACACAGACACATACAAGAGGTAGAGAGCCCTGCCCGTAAGCTGATAACTAGCCATTAAACTAGATCTGGAAGACGAAAAAGGTGTTAGCTGGCAAATGTAATGCGCATTTGGACAAGAAGATACTGTACACAGAAACCAAGTCTCACATCCCTGTCGCAGCGATGCAAATGCAAATTTCGCACGGCAAAGAAATACAGATATTTTAGAGGAAAAACATCATGTACAGTTTTCATAATACCACCACAGACACTACTACAAATTCTTAGTTGATCTCTGAATGGTTCCTTCTAGCAATGTTTTCAAATTTGGGCTCATTTTACTGAATATTTACTGGAGATTTAAGGGTACCCTCAAGCATGGCCTGCAGTAAATATACTTCACAGTGTGCAATATTCAGCTTTTTATTCTTTATATGCTATGCTGTGGCATTAGGTACACATTCTGCCTTGCTGTTTTTTCAGAAATGTAGGGTAAGTACAGTTTATCCTCGTGGGTTTTGGAATAAAAAAATGATTAAATGCAGCGGATTCTGGCACATTAGATTCAAGTACACACAAATTTTCCCGTTTGTACTCACATCTAATGCGCATTGAAACTTTGGAAACTTTATTTTGCCAATAACTGTGCACATTAGATTTGAGTAAATAAGGTATATATACATTTTTTTTTTTTTAAATTTGACAATTTATATTATGTCGATATTAGTGGGGGATGGGTACAGAAAAGAAAGAGGATATGGTTCCAAGTAGAGTAATTAATTGATATGTAACATAGTGAGCGGGTACAGAAGGTAAAATGGGAGGTGGGGGGTAGGCAGGGGTCGCATTACATTGTTTGAACCAGTACAGTAGAGCTATGCATATTTTATGCATGTGTCTTAGGGTGGCAAGGTGTCCCTTCCTGCTTTTGCATCTACAAAGGTTAGGGAGCCTGCGCTCTCATTCTCGCTTTACAGACTAAGTACGGCATCGGACCTCCATTTGTGCCAAAGCTCCCATGTTTTACGATAGAGTGTAGGGCGGGGGGGGAGAGGGACTTATAGGAAGTCTCGTAAATATTTTGTGTACTTACTTAATTAGGTTTTTCTTAATTAGTATTAAAATGTAAAAAATAAATTAAAAAGTCATCAATACCTTCCGTTAGGAGTATTCAGCCATATGCACACACCTTGGATAAGACAGTGTTTGAATGTGACAGTTAGACAGTCTGATGCACTGTGCAGGGAGTGAAGCCGGGAAGACCATAGAGACTAACTGTCGGTTTTCAAACACTGTCTGGCCCAAGGTGTATGCATATGGCTGAAAAATAATTTCAATAAAATTCAATATTTAAAAATATTAACGATTGAGATTATTTTTTTTTTTTTTTTTTTACATAGTCTTAATTTAGCCAAAAATTATATTTCCTCTCACAACGTGATGAAAGGATCATTACATTAATAAAATTGTGTTGAGGTGACAGTTGTCCTTTTAAAAAAATAAAAATAAAAAGGGGTTAAAATAGACAAAAAGGGTTACATTTAGCAAGAAAAAGCCCAAACTCTTCACAGTAATAAAACTGATCAACACTGAAAGGGTTAATTATTATTTTGTTTATAAAACACCAACAAATTGTGCTGGTTCTTTGAGGTTTTTTTTAACAGTAAACGGTTTTATTCACTCCAGAACACCAAATTTAAAGGTTCAGGCTGCACGTTGCTCACTGCTCAGCACATCTAGGAGCTTCCTGTGTCTTTTCAATGAAAAGGCAGTGTTTACATTAAAAAGCCTGCAGGGACTGACTATACTCACCAAAACAACTACATTAAGCTGTAGTTGTCCTGATGACTATACTCACCAAAACAACTACATTAAGCTGTAGTTGTCCTGATGACTATAGTATCCCTTTCATTTTCACTCTGCCTCAGATCAAAGTGAGGAAAGAGAGGCAGAGGCAGTGATTAAAGTCAATGATTGTAATCATTGACTGTCACTTTGTATCTGTGACTGGCAGTCATCACGATCCCGTGACACAAAATTCACTAACTGGATCTTGGGGGACTGCCATAACTGTAAGGCAAGTCCACATGACAGATTCCAGCTGGTAAGTATACACTGGGGAGAATGGGGGGACATGGACGTTAGGATGTGCCATGCTGCCCGAATGTTGTAGGTCCATATTGTGGAGGATGGCATAGCAAGGTTAATGATTATGCTCCCTCCCTTGCCTTTATTTATAGTTCTCTTTGCTCCCTTGTTACCTGGGCTTAGCCATATTATTCTTCCCTGCCCAAGGATGCAAAAGTTCTCGACTGCGACCAGGCTCTGGAGGTCCGTGTGTCAGGAGGGCCCGTCGGAGAAAGAACCTGCTATCAGGGCAGCAGCAGGCAACATACTTTAGTTTGTTTGCCTGCTGATGCCTGACACAGAATCCACAGCCAGACTTCACACCTCCAGCTAGGTCCATGTGTCCAGTGGTGTATCTGACACGCTGATATCCTCTATCATATCATCTCCCTTACAGCTCAGATGCTCACTTAGTGAGTCAGAGTGCAGCCAAGGAGAGTCCCAGCCTATGCTCTTATTCAACACTGGGTGTTAAAAACATGAGGGAAAGGATATGATAGCGTGTATAAGCAGGAGGTAAAACCACTAGGGAAGCAGTCGTAGCCAGCAGCAGTGCTAGACCACCAGGGCAGTCATCTAATTTAGGCACCATGGTTGTCCTGCCGTGCATGAGATGGAGTCATGGCCACAGGCAGGTTCGTTTTGAACCAGACACACCAGGGTCCAGCCAGGAGAGGTAGTTGAAGACCACAGGAGAGCAAACTGGGGTGAGAGAGAGGGTCAGTGTTTCTATGTGTGTCAGTGTTTGTGTGTGTTCGAAAATGCATCTGTGCATGTGTGTCATTGTTTGTGTCAGTGTATACATCTATGCATGTGTGTCAGTGTATGCATCTGGGCATGTGTATCAGTGTTTGTTTGTAAAAGTATGTATCTGTGCTTGTGTTTGTGTTTTTGTGTGTCAGTTTACTGCATGGGTCGTCAACCTGGTCCCTACCACCTACTAGTGGGCGTTTCAGGATTCCAGGTGGGCGGTAGGGATTTCCTCATTTGGAGAGATTAGGTGGCGGGCGCGAGCCGGTGGTACCCCTGTGACCGGGTACCGCCATCTCCATTTGCGGCCCCCGGCCCGGGCGGCAAACCACCGGGGCCGCCGTCCAAGGGGTCCATTGGGTGGCCCATGCTGTCAGGGCCACCCAATGGATGTGGATTGTGAGGGGGCCCGGTCAGCGCTGGGCGCTTTAACAGCACGACCGGGCCCCCTGTGATTACATCGGAGAGCTGGGAGGAAGTGACTGCACGTCACTCCTCCCAGCTAACACTGAGAGCTGCGCGGGAGGAAGACCAGGGAGTCAGAGTGGGAACTCTGACTCCCATCCACCTGAGCCACCACTGAACCCCAGGGAAAGTCAGGAGGGTGACAAATATAATGTGTGTGTTTGTGTGTGTCTTTGTATGTATGTCGTGTGTGTTTGTCTTTGTATGTATGTCTTGTGTGTGTCTGTATGTGTGTGTATGTGTCTTTGTATGTATGTGTGTCTTATGTATGTGTGTCTTGTGTGTATGTGTGTCTTGTCTTTGTATGTATGTGTTGTGTGTGTATGTGTCTTTGTATGTATGTGTGTCTTATGTATGTGTCTGTATGTATGTGTGTCTTGTCTGTGTGTATTTGTGTGTTTCTTTGTATGTATGTCTTATGTGTGTCTGTGTGTATGTTTGTATGGTGTGTGCAGGGCCGTCTTTAAGGAGGGGCAAAAGGGGCAGCTGCCCCGGGCCCAGTTACTCCTGGGGGCCCTAAGGCAGCTGCCCCATGGGCCCCCTGCAGCACCTGAGGTAATCAGGGGCCACAGCCCTTTAATACTGCTCTGGACCGGGCCCTTGTAATATGGGGGTTGGCTGAATACAAACACACAGCTAGCCCCTCACACACTGCCCTGTGATCCCTTTTCTTCTCCGTGGCATGCTGGGAGGCAGTGAGGTCAGATCACTTCCTCCTCAGTGCCACTGGGGAGGAGGCACACACCACATGGAGAAGGATGCAAGCATTGTGGGGGAGAGGGACTAAGAAAGCTGATGGCAGACTCCCATCAGCCTGGGCCAGCAAGCTCTCACTGGACCCCGGGGAAGCCACCTTTCTGTACCCAAAAGGTAAGGAGACAGGGGGGTGGCTAAATATGTTTTGTTTTTTTGTTTTGCTTATTTCTGATATCACTTTTATTCAAGTGTTGGTGTTTGTAATGTAACACACAGGGAATAAGTACATGTTAAAAATCCTAGAAGAACCTGACAGTTCCCTATTAAATATACATTTTAAAAGTATTTATTTTAACATATTATTGCATCAAGTGTTATCAAAGGCTGTATACCATTTCCAAATGTCACTTTTGCCAAATTCTGGACCAGGGTATGTAAGAACAGAGTTGGGACATTATTATGGCCAAGGTTGCTGGGAGTTGTCTGTCCAAGAGCTACTAGAGGGCAGAGATTAAAATATGTAAAGGTACACATATATGTGTGTGTGTGTATCTGGCTGTGTTTGTGTCAGTGTGTGTATCTGGCTGTGTTTGTGTCAGTGTGTGTATCTGGCTGTGTTTGTCTGTGTGTCAGTGTTTCTGTGTGTGTGTGTATGTATACCTGTGTATGTGTACTTGTGTGTCAGTGTGTATGTGTACCTGTGTGTGTGTTTGTGTGTGTATGTATGTATGTGTCAGTGTGTGTAAGTGTGCATCTGAGTGTGTGGTAATGCATACATCCCAGCATTTTAATGCCAACACAAATACACTCCATCTCTAGCACTGTACACATATACACCCCTGCATTTATACCTTTATGTATGTGTGTATCTGAGTGTGTGTGTACATACCTGTGTCAGTGTGTGTGTGTACCTCTGTGTGTGGATGTGCCAGTGTGTGTGTGTATCAAAGTGCTTGTATCTGTGTGTCAAAGGGTGTGTATCTGAGTGTGTGTGTGTATGTGCCAGTATGTGTCAAGGTGTGAGCATGTGTCAGTGTGCCTATGTGTGTATCTGCGTGTTAATGTGTATGTGTATATGTGTTATAGAAATCACACAACATGCAAACAGAGCCCTGCAAACACAAACATTACATACAAACACACCAGTTTGCTGAAACACCAATACTACACACAAATGTACACAACACTACATCCAAACAACCCCCTGCATGCAAATACAAACATTTACATACAAACACATTCCTGTATTAAAGAGCTAAAATTATATACAAACACCAACTCTTCACACAAAAGTACACCTGCATTTAAAAGTCAACACTACAGTCAATCACACATTACTGCATTCAAACGCAAACACTACACACAAGTACACCACTGCATTCCAATGGTAACAGTACACACAAATACACCCCTACATGCACACATACACTCTATACAATAACATGCTGACATTCAATTGCACAAACACTGCTCAAAAATACAACCCTGCAAGGATGGTAGATCCCCACCTGGCATAGCATCGCAGGAGTTGTATGACAGATGGGGATCTATCTTTTCTTTACTCTTGTGCTACAGGGCAGGCCTGAATTATTATTTTTTTGCACCAAGGCACTCTCTACATTAGTTTCGCCTCTAGGTTGGGGTGGAGGGAGTGATTGCATGCCCAGGGGGCCCAAGCAGATACTTGCCCAGGGTCCAATCAATATTAAAGACGGCCCTGGGTGTGTGTGCATGTATTCCTGTCTGTTTGTATGTATGTGTCGTGTGTGTGTGTGTGCCTGTCTGTGTGTCTGTATGTGTGTGCCTGTCTGTTTGTATGTATGTCTTGTATGTGTGCCTTTTATAGTGGGCTATAGTAAGTGGACTACCTAGCTCAGCCTTCCTACTGGGCATTGCTATAAGTAAGGTTAGAAAATAGAAAAAAGGGGGCGGAGCTTGACCGCCGACGAAGATGGCCGCGAACTAGTGGAGCTCCGAGGTGGCGGACACACACAACAGCTAACAACAGGGGCAATAGAGCCTATATAATGCCACAACCCGAGCGCTAGCACCCTGACCCACACCGGGACGCACTGACATGGGCGGAGGGAGGAAGTCCAAATCTGCAGCGGCTGTAACACCGATTTTAAAACCCAGGCCGGACAGAGAGGCGCCACGAGGCCTCAGCCAACAGGCCTCTGACTCCGACTCCGACACCAGCATCACTAGCCATGCGATGGAGTCAACTCCCCTCACCAGGAAGGATATGAAAGAACTCCTCACGGAGATGAAGTCCTTCGTAGCTGAGGAGCTCACCAAACATCTAGCCCCTCTAAAGGACAGCCTGACAGCCCTATCCCAGCGCACACAAGGGTTGGAAAATAAAATGGCCGAGGTCACCACTACTACATCAGCCCACGAGGCTTCCCTACGAGACTTACGGGAACAAATAGCAATACTAGAAGAGGCACAGGAGGACCTAAACAACAGGTCTAGGCGGAATAATATCCGCACCCGGGGACTGCCGGAGTCCTCCACACCGGAGGCACTTAATACCACACTGCACGAAGCCCTCAGCCATCTCTTACCCGATGCTGCACCATCAGACCTCCTCCTTGACAGGGCGCATAGGGCCCTCCGCCCTCCCTCCGTGAACCCCACCCAGCCTCGGGATATTATTATCCGCTGCCACTTTTTCCATATCAAGGAAGCCATCATGCGTGCAGTGAGGGAGACCCCATTACAAGTAGAAGGCCACACGGTCCAATTGTTCCACGACCTGGCACCCACTACCCTGCGAAAACGTAGGGAGCTGAAACCGCTGACCCAGGCCTTACAAGCCCGGAGGATCCGGTACTCCTGGGGCCACCCCTTCAAGCTAAATATCAGGCACGATAACCGCATATTCACGGTCCATAAAGCTTCTGAGATGCAAGATATTGCCGCCCAAATCGGCCTCCGTGACCTAAGTCAAGAACTACGCATGCATCACCTGCGCTCTGAGTCCCGAGACCATACGTGGGACCTGCAACCCCAGAGAGAGCGCAGCGGAAGACTGCGCCCTGCACTACCCCCAGCTTAAGCCTAAGCTGGGGTTTCGTGGAAGCACCTTGCCCCGACCTCTCCTGCAGCAAGCCCACGCGATGACCCACCCTGGATTCAATGGCCACTGACACCCACAGCATAGCCCAACACTCGAAGCACCAAAGAGGACACCAGCACACACTCAAGGCTCCGGGGCCGCGGTGATACCTGATGACCACCGGGGGGGATGGGGTGCCCGGGCTGCGGTGGCGCTCCCTCCGGGAGCCTGGCATGGACCGGGGGGCACGACAGGTCCCTTCAGACTGTGCCCGCATCAATGGAGGACTGCACTGGCTGGCCAACGGACTTCCCGCTGGGCTTCAGCCCAGCAGAACCACAGATGGCGAACAGCACAAACTCCATCGTTTTTTTCCCGCAGGCCTGACTGGGGACACTGGGTATGGGGCACGGGTATGGAGGGTTGGTTGGTGCGAGAGGACTGGGGCTCTGGCGTCCCTCCCCTCTCCGTGAAGCGGGGGGCGGTGGGCCGTGACGGCCCCGGACTCCATGAGAAGGCATAACTGGACCGCATGGGGCCATGCCCCGGACACTGGGACATCCTGGGGGCTGGGGGGGGACAGGGAGTAGGAGGGGAGTAGGCGGCCTTCCCCCCCCTTGTTTCCGGTCGGGGGGGCGGGAGGCCGCGATGGTCTTGGCCTTGGTGGGGGGAATCAACGCCCCGGGCGGCACACGATGGGTGGCTCTGGGCCTGTGATTAGGGCAGCGGGGGGTGGGACGCCTGGGGCGGGGGAGGGGACAGACAGTCCGGGACCCTGGCGGCCTTCCCCCCCTTCCTCGGTTCGGGAGGGGGCGGCGGGCCGTGACGGTCCCGGGAGGGTGGGGACTGACACGCCCTACGGAATGCCAAGCTGGAGATCTCCCCTGGCCCCCTGGATAGCGCTCCCTGCCGGGACCGGGCCCCCACATCCCACGGAGGTTCCCATGATGTCAGACCCATCAGCAGACGACTCACAATGACCTAGCGGCGAGCAGGGGCAAGGTGTAGCACGACCACTTATGTATATAGTTCGCATGGGGCCCTATGACCTGCCCCTTCTCCCCAGTTGTACCAGCACCTGTGCACCTCCCCCCCGGACCCTGTTACGAGGGCCTGGGAACCCTAAACGTTGCTCCCTACGTTTACCCCTATCGGGGTTTGTAAACAACCGAGCTGCCCAACTATAGCTAGTCACTGCCCACCTCTGGCGCCCTATAGAACGACCACTTCTACCCCACGACCTGACTCTTGCCGCTGGTCCCCGGCCCACCAGGCTCAAGAGACCCCCGGAGACACAGCCCACCCTTGCTGGCATTAGACGGAAGCCCAGCAAACACTCCCCCTACCCCACCGCACCCCACCCACTCTATCCCTCTGCTGCCCTCTTGGAGATCACCCGGACCCAGAGACCTCTCCCCCTCCGGTACCCTCCCTACACCCCCGTCACGAGCCTCAGAACACGACTTAGGTACCCAGGATCATGCCACTTCAACTCCGCTGCATCTCCATCAATGCAAAGGGCCTTCATAGTCCCACCAAACGTCACTCATTACTGCGTTGGGCCCACAACCACAAAGCAGACATTCTCCTGGTCCAAGAAACTCATTTCACCCCCCCGCAAACACTTCCCACTCAAGAATAAACACTACAACCGCGCCTTCTTTGCTAACTCACCGGATGCAAAAACCAAAGGGGTGGCCATAGTACTTAAATCAAGCCATCCCGGACAAACAGGGGGGATTCCTCACTCTCCCAGGCAAGATAGGCCCCACAACCTACTCCATCTCCTCCCTCTACGCCCCCACAACCCCGGAGCCATCGTTCTGGCCAACATTCTCGGCGCATTTAGCCGCACACAATGCAACATTTACCATCATAGGTGGAGACTGTAACGCCACTCATCACCTCATGATAGACCGCACCACCAAGTCACAGGGCACACCCCGCACCTCGCTAAACGACTCCCTCTTCTCCCATTTCTTGACCACACACAACCTCATGGATATATGGAGAGCCCAACACCCCTCAACCCTCGACTACACGTTCTACTCCCACCCCCACAACACCTACTCACGCATTTACTACCTCCTAATCTCCCCGAACCTGACCTCACGCATCACACACACCTCCATAGGCCACATTACCTGGTCGGACCACGCCGATGTCTCCCTAACCCTCACAATCCCTAACATGACGCGCCCATGGACTTGGAGACTCAACCCACAACTCCTCCACAACAAATCGGTTGTGATGTCCCTCGCAAACGATCTCAAAGAATACTTCACCCTGAATGAGCCATCAGTGTCCTCCCCGTTTACATTGTGGGCAGCCCACAAACCAGTTATAAGAGGCAAACTGATATCTATAGCGACGGCACGCAAAAAACGCCATAACAAACAATTAATGGAAACCATAGCAGAAATAGGCCGTCTTGAGACCCTGCATAAACTCCACCCAGACCCCTCACACTTAGAACAGCTCACAACAGCCAGAGCACTTCTCAAAAGCCTTTCCTTATCAGACACAGCCAAAGCCCTCACATGGACTAAGCAAAAATACTATAAAACTGACCCCATATCATACACGCAACACAAAGGCAGATGATGGGCAGAAAAACTAAAAAGCCCCGAGCCGACAAGTGCCCGATCAGCAAAGATATTGGGGAACTGCTACGGAACTCACAGCAGGCCGCATGGGCCAAGATGGCGCTCAGGGATGAGTTCTCGTGCTCATCCGACGAGGCCTCCATAGATCTTGAGGAGGGAGCCTCCTATGACCCACCGCTGAAAAGGGCAGTTAAGCCCCTGCAAGCCGGGGAACCGGTGACGGCGGACTTGCTTAAAGCCATGTTTGCGGACCTGCGAAAAGACCTGGCCGCTGACAGGGCCCACTACAACACCGCCATAGAAGGCGTCAAGGCCAAAGCCACACAACTCGAAGCCACCTCCAATGTCCATGATGCCCGAATCACGCAGGTGGAGCAGTCACTGGCAGACCTCCAAGACAGGCAACTAGCTGCTGAAAATCGAGTAAACTCACTCGAAGACCAAAGACGACGATACAATTTAAAAGTTAGAGGCATACCGGAGACCGTAGGCCTCAAGGACTTACCCCACTTCATCAGACGCCTGTTTGAAGCTTTGATGTTGCCCAAACAGGCCAAGGCCCTAAAGCTAGACGGGATGTTCCGGCTTCCCAAGCCTGCACAGGTACCACAAACAACACCGGCGGACCTCATCCTCCGCTTCCAAAACCTCCAGGACAAGAACACCTTCTCAGCCACAATAAAAGGGAAAACCCCCTTAACCTTTGAAGGGGCCACGCTCCTAGTCTTTCCAGACGTGACAAAAAGTACCCTGTCCTGGAGGAAATCACTGCAGCCGCAGCTTCAACACCTCCGCACCAAAAACATCCCATACCGATGGGGCACCCCGCGAGCACTGCTCTTCTCCCATGGAGGGACTACCTACAAGGCACGGAGCCTACAAGAATTAGAAGCGCACCTGCGTTCTCTTAGTCTTACCACCACCCCGAATGGGGCAAGCGGGACTCTGCTCCACATCAACCCTGCAAATATTGCGGTCTTTACTCCAAGACCAACCCTGAACGCGATGCCGACCTGAACGCCAACGAGAAGACCGAGCCAGAGATGGTATACCCGCATGGATGTCCAACTGCTGTGCCGGACTGTTTGTTGCCCACCAGGCTTCTATGATAACTTTCTCTCGTTCCTCAGCTTTAATGTTTTCTTCTTGTTTTATTTTAATGGTTTAAGTTTCTTAAAAGCACTAACATAACCGCATGGCGCTGTTTCACCAGTAACTGTCGCCAAGTCCCCACCGACTAGTTATCACACTACCTTGAAAATACTCGAGTACTAATCCGCTCATAACCCTCAGACCCAGTATCTCCCAATCGGCCCACACATACCTCCCCTACCATACCCCCACAAGGGAACCACTATACGAACTTATCCACCAGCACCCGGTAGGGAACACAGTTACCTGCAGATAGGTGACTTTTTAACAATTTCTCTTTGGTTAGAGCTCAAGGTCCAAACTAGGTGAATACCTAATGCCCTATGGAGCAAGTAGACCACAGGAATGTAACTCACAGGGCCCCAATAAAATACTCAAATTAACACGACAAGGAGCGGACAAAGATTAGGACCCACGGTCTCTCAATAGAGGTTTAACAGGACATCCAAAACTAGACCCGCTTTCACTATAACAGTACTCCGCCCGCACACCTCTGGCAATCAATATCAATGCTTAAACTGATGTCCATGGATGCCCCGCTACCTAGCTATGTTTATATTTACAAAAAAAAAAAAATTTGCAATGTTCCTCACCTGCTATGTGCTTGTTTTCAAATGTATACCAATTTTGGGCTCACACACGCTGTTGTAGCAGTGCAAGCCAATTTGTGATCTTTTTTGCATAACAAAATAAAGAATTTAAAAAAAAAAAAAAAATACTATGAGAAGGGCAATAAGGCGGACTCTATGCTAGCAAAACGCCTCAAAAATCTGACGGAAGCAAAACGAATTTCTAAAATTCGTACCCCAGATGGGACACTGAGCGACACCCCACACACAATTGGAGAAACCTTTCCGACGATACTTCACGTCCCTATATAACCACACTACAGACCCACCTAGCGATGCCATCCAAACCCAAACTGAAAACTTCTTAAGGCAGCTGTCACTTCCCACCCTCACCGACGACGCCAGAACCCTAATCTCAGCCGATATCTCCCCGGAAGAGCTAGGGGCAGCAATCAAGACCCTGAAACCAAATAAAAGCCCCGGCCCGGATGGCTTGATGGCCATTTATTACAAATCCTTCGGAGACATACTCATCCCCAGATTATGCAAAGTCTTTCATGCAATGCTCACTGGTGAACAGCTACCCCCCGATATGACTCAAGCTAACATCACCTTACTGCCAAAACCAGGAAAATCCCACGATGACCCAGGCCACTACTGCCCCATCTTCCTCCTGAATATTGACCTAAAACTTCTGACTAAAGTCATGACTACCAGAATAAACCCCCTCCTACCCAAACTCATCAACCCTGACCAGGTTGGCTTTATCCCACAAAGACAGGCGCAAGATAACACACAGAGAACCATAGACCTAATCTGGTACGCCCACCACAGACGGATCCCAACGACAATACTTTCCCTAGACGCCGAGAAGGCCTTTGATCGCCTCCTCTGGCCCTACCTCTTTGCAGTACTCCGTAAATTTGGATTCCCATCCGAATTTACTCAATTTCTACAAGCAATGTATCACTCGCCGACAGCGCAACTGCTAATACTCAACATCACCCCTCCCTCCTTCCTCATACTAAACAGCACCCGCCAAGGCTGCCCACTTTCCCCCCTCCTATTTGCCATATCCCTCGAACCCTTACTGGAGACCATACGTAACAACCCACGTATCGAAGGCATCCAAGTCCGCAACGAGCGGTTCTCTGTAGCTGCATATGCCGACGACATCCTCCTGACCCTAACCAACCCCATTCAGTCCATAATTGCTCTCTTGGCAACCCTACACGACTACTCAACAGGGTACCACTTAAATGCCACAAAATCAGACCTTATGCCGCTCAATCTCGACTCTTCCACCATAAACACCCTCAAACGCAGATTCCCCTTTCGTATCTGCCCGACGACTATAACGTACTTAGGCATCCAAATAACCAACGACACCAACAATTTATACGCCTCCAACTACCCCCCCCCATTACACAAAGCTCTCCTGGACCTTGAACGTTGGCAGCCCATGACCATCTCGTGGCTCGGGAGGATAGCCTCGATTAAAATGAACATACTTCCCAAATTCCCCTATGCCTTCCAAGCACTACCCATCCCCTCAAAAAACACGACCTTAAACTCTTACAAACGGCAATAGACCGATTTATCTGGAAGGGCAGGAGGCCCAGAGTCCGCAGAACCACACTGTATGTACCAACACCCTCCGGAGGACTAGGTCTCCCCAACTTCATGCACTATCTACATGCCGCCCACCTCACACAAATCCAACACTGGCACCTTCCCCCCGCCCACAAGAGGTGGGTAGACCTAGAGCACCTCATCCTTGGTTGGGACCACCCCTCCCAATACATGTGGATCCCAAAACAGCATAGACCTCTGCCTCCCCCCACCTCTCCAACGATTACCCATTCCTTGGACCTCTGGGATCGCCTAAGCGCCAAATTCGACCTATCTACTGGCCTATCGCCCCTCACCCCAATCCTCCGTAATAAAATGTTCCCACCCGGCCTTACTCCGAGGCACTATGCTCACTTCGAAGACAGAGACATAGTTAGACTAGGACACCTTTACCCCAATGGCAAACTCCTCCAATACGCAGAGGTTCCTAACCCGGAATCGTTAACCACTCATGACTACTTTCGATATCTCCAACTCCGTAGCTTTGCAGCTTCTGACACGGTTCGCTTGGCAGCCACCTCAGCCCTGACAGGGTTTGAGAGGGACACCCTCAACTCACCGGCCAGAAAGAGCCAAATATCAAGCCTCTACACATCCCTAACCACACATCACACTCAAATAGCACTCCCATACATCGCAGCATGGGAGAGTGACTTGGGACCCCCTGAGGACACCACTCACTGGGCAGACATCTGGACTGCCATCAAATCCATCTCCACCTGTGTAACCCATAAGGAACAGGCCTACAAAATGCTTTTCAGATGGTACCTCACCCCCTTCCGCCTAAAGGCAATGCAACAACTTCCCACCAACTTATGTTGGAAACTGTGCGGCGAGGCAGGCACGTTTCTCCACTGCTGGTGGACCTGCCCTAAAGTCGCCCCCATATGGACAACGCTAACCACACTCTTAACCAGATTACTTAACAAACCAGTACCTTTAGACCCTTGGGCCTTTCTCCTCTCCAAACCCATCGACATCTTCACTCGTAACGAAAACAAACTCATTGCCAGAGTAGCCCTGGCCACACGAAGGGCAATAGCGGAAACATGGTCCACACCACGCATCCCAACCCAACTGCAGATACACACTAAAATAACTGACAGCGTAAACATGGATAAGCTGACTGCACAAATACATGACACCCCCAACTCATTCCACAAAGTGTGGGACCCATGGCTGGAGGGGAACAACACCCTCCCATGGTGACCCGCGGCACTCACACCGACCGACACCACCCAAGCACAACTACAACATGATGCAAATCTGAGGCTCGCCCCCACCTAGCGCCCTTAACCTACCCCACCCCACCAAGGGCGTTGGGGGGTACCCAGGAGGGCAGCACCATCCTGCCTTTTCTTTCCCACAACACCCCTCACCCTAGTCTCCCACACCTTATACGCCCCACCGCCCCCTTGAACAGTGAAAATGACACACCCACAGGGCTCCGCTGATTCAGCCTCTCACAACACACCTTTCTCGGACAGCAACCCCCAAACCAGCCACCCCCCCCAACAGACTCGGGCTAACATCTCTGGCTCAGTTGACTCATAAGTCATACCTCTCCCCTAAACCATATCAGGCTACAAATCAGACCTCCACCTAATCCGAGACCGCACAAGATACCACCACACACCGGCCCACCACAGGCAGTGTAACACACACGCTCGGAGACTTCATTGCCAGACTTACCCCTGGACAACGCAATGTTATTCCCCACTGTTCTTTCCCAACTAACCATTTATTATTTCTGTAAGAATGTATACTTGATCTACAAAAATGAAAATAAAGAATTATCAAAAAAAGAAAATAGAAAAAAAGGGGGGGGGGGAAAGGTGGGGAGGGGAATTGAGGAGGGGAGCTGACGCACAGATGAGAAATCATATTATGCACGCACAGAGAAGTCGTCTGAATATCACCGAAAGAGGAGACCTTTGTTTGTTCCTTACGAAAATCGAACCAGATATCAAATATTTAGTCTTGCAGCATCAACCTCAAGGATCTCATTAATCACTAGTAAAGGTAATTTCAATTTACTTTATTGTTTTCTCATTAAACTTTATAAAGTTAAAAACATTATAAACATGCATTAAGTAGAAATAAAAAGATAAATGTACAGGGAGTGCAGAATTATTAGGCAAATGAGTATTTTGACCACATCATCCTCTTTATGCATGTTGTCTTACTCCAAGCTGTATAGGCTCGAAAGCCTACTACCAATTAAGCATATTAGGTGATGTGCATCTCTGTAATGAGAAGGGGTGTGGTCTAATGACATCAACACCCTATATCAGGTGTGCATAATTATTAGGCAACTTCCTTTCCTTTGGCAAAATGGGTCAAAAGAAGGACTTGACAGGCTCAGAAAAGTCAAAAATAGTGAGATATCTTGCAGAGGGATGCAGCACTCTTAAAATTGCAAAGCTTCTGAAGCGTGATCATCGAACAATCAAGCGTTTCATTCAAAATAGTCAACAGGGTCGCAAGAAGCGTGTGGAAAAACCAAGGCGCAAAATAACTGCCCATGAACTGAGAAAAGTCAAGCGTGCAGCTGCCACGATGCCACTTGCCACCAGTTTGGCCATATTTCAGAGCTGCAACATCACTGGAGTGCCCAAAAGCACAAGGTGTGCAATACTCAGAGACATGGCCAAGGTAAGAAAGGCTGAAAGACGACCACCACTGAACAAGACACACAAGCTGAAACGTCAAGACTGGGCCAAGAAATATCTCAAGACTGATTTTTCTAAGGTTTTATGGACTGATGAAATGAGAGTGAGTCTTGATGGGCCAGATGGATGGGCCCGTGGCTGGATTGGTAAAGGGCAGAGAGCTCCAGTCCGACTCAGACGCCAGCAAGGTGGAGGTGGAGTACTGGTTTGGGCTGGTATCATCAAAGATGAGCTTGTGGGGCCTTTTCGGGTTGAGGATGGAGTCAAGCTCAACTCCCAGTCCTACTGCCAGTTCCTGGAAGACACCTTCTTCAAGCAGTGGTACAGGAAGAAGTCTGCATCCTTCAAGAAAAACATGATTTTCATGCAGGACAATGCTCCATCACACGCGTCCAAGTACTCCACAGCGTGGCTGGCAAGAAAGGGTATAAAAGAAGAAAATCTAATGACATGGCCTCCTTGTTCACCTGATCTGAACCCCATTGAGAACCTGTGGTCCATCATCAAATGTGAGATTTACAAGGAGGGAAAACAGTACACCTCTCTGAACAGTGTCTGGGAGGCTGTGGTTGCTGCTGCACGCAATGTTGATGGTGAACAGATCAAAACACTGACAGAATCCATGGATGGCAGGCTTTTGAGTGTCCTTGCAAAGAAAGGTGGCTATATTGGTCACTGATTTGTTTTTGTTTTGTTTTTGAATGTCAGAAATGTATATTTGTGAATGTTGAGATGTTATATTGGTTTCACTGGTAATAATAAATAATTGAAATGGGTATATATTTGTTTTTGTTAAGTTGCCTAATAATTATGCACAGTAATAGTCACCTGCACACACAGATATCCCCCTAACATAGCTAAAACTAAAAACAAACTAAAAACTACTTCCAAAAATATTCAGCTTTGATATTAATGAGTTTTTTGGGTTCATTGAGAACATGGTTGTTGTTCAATAATAAAATTAATCCTCAAAAATACAACTTGCCTAATAATTCTGCACTCCCTGTACGTACATTTTTTAAACGCCCTCCTTTCTAAAAAATATTCTGCACTTGCGTGAAAACTGGTGGGCAGTAAGAAAATTTTTCCATCAAGAAAGATGCATTAGTGGGCAGAAAAAGGTTGACTACCACTGGTTTAGTGTATGTATCTGTGCACGTGTGTCATTCTTTTTGTGTGTCAGTTTATGTATCTGTGCACGTGTGTCAGTGTTTGTTTACATCAGTTTATGTACCAGTACATGTGTATTTGTACACGTGTATCTGTAGATCAGTGTACGTTAATCATGTATGTCACTATAACTGTGCATGTGTGTCAATCTATGTGTGGATCTCTCGGAGTGTATCTGTGTGTGTATGTGGGCATCTGTGTTTGTCAATGTGCCTGTGTGTGTGTGCGGCAGTGCATATGTATTTGTGAAAACACATTTATATGCAATCACCAATAATATACACAAACACACGCTGCATTCAAATGTTAACATTCAAATGTTAACACTGTGTGTACAAAAAACAGTACCGTAGTGTTGTTTAAATGTCAATACTATCCACCTTTGCATTCACATTCTAACATTACAAACATCCCTGCATTTATACACGAACACCACATAAAAAAACTTGCATTCAAACACCAACACTACACACATACAACTGTATTTAAATGCAAACAATACAGACAAACAGACCTAATGCATTAAAACGTCAGCATTACACACAAATACACAATGTTCCAAAGGAACAAAAAAAAAATTGGATATTCCTTAGGAATAAGAGCATATAATTTAAAGTCAAGAAATCCCAAAATAACACCTAATATAATTCTGTGAATGACACATACAAATGGAATCTAAGAGACAATACCCTCACATGTAACCAATGCTGATATATATGGGAAAAATCCTTTATTAGATGCTAGGGTAAATGTTGAGTGGTATGTCTACTAAATGTTTCAAAAAGAGGGTTAGGTTCACCACTACTAAGGAAGATAATATAGAGAAGAATCTATCTCAGTGATACTTGTAGAAATTAGTAATTGTTTCAGAATTGTATCAAAGTATCATCTATCTCAAAGTGGTAAGAAAGTAGCAGTAATAGTAAAGTGTCAAATAGGGATAGTTTACACAGGGAAATACCAAGAGTAGGAAAATATAAATCCTATTATGATTGTGCACATGGCACGTATCTATCAATGAGTTCCTAGGCACCTAAGATAAATAAATCTCGCTGCTAAACTCAGGATAACTAATCCTACTGGCTGTAAGATCTCTATGATTGTTAAAATACTAGTCTGCTCATATATAATAATAGATCCCTAAGATCCCTCACTTCAAGTGACTCCAGGCAGCTAAAGGAGTCTATCTATAATGTGCTTGTATTGTTACACACAAATACAAAATCGTTAACAAATATACTCCATACAAAAATATGCCTACATTCACAGATAATGAATACAAATGGAACCCTGCAAGGATGGGTAAATAGTAGATCCTCAGCTGGCAAAATATCATGGAATTCGTACGGCAGATGAGAATCTACTATTTGCCACTTCTGTTCTATAATGGAGGGGCCTTAAGTTCTTTGCACCAGGGACCTGAGGTTCTCTAGTTACGCCACTGCCATAATTTATTCTGGTTTCCCTTCTGTAGGATTGATTTTACTGATGGATTTTAGGTTTGATTGGTAACTGAAACAGAACCTTGCTTTAAAAGACCACTATAGTGCCAGGAAAACTCACAATAATAAATAAATAAAATAAATAAAATGGGATATATCACAAATGGGAGAAGAAATTCCACAAATGGAGATGATGCAGTTTACGGAGGAACAAGCATTAAATATTTTATGGGATACCACAAGCTTAGAACTTCCTACTACAGTAACTACGAAAGATGTATATTTCAAACTATTGAGACTGAGGAAAAGAGAGGTAGATTTGGACCTTCAAGGCCTTTTCTTGTCAGACTATCACAAGGCAAAACAGATTCCAAGGGGCTTTAGGGTACAAAATGCACCCACAATAGGGAGAATGAAACCTAAAGTGAGAAAAAACTGGACTGCTGTCATTATTATTATTATTATTATTATGATATTTATAGAGCGCCGTCAAATTTCGCAGTGCTTTACAATGGGTGGACGAACAGACATGTATTTGTAACCAGACAAGTTGGACACACAGGAACAGAGGGGTTGAGAGCCCTGCTCAATGAGCTTACATGCTAGAGGGAGTGGGGTAAAATTACACAAAAAGGTAAGGATAGTATTAGACTAATGACAGTTGCAGAAGAGGAATCAGTCAGGAGCTATTAACAGTTTAATTGATACGCTTTTATGAAGAAGTGGGTTTTTAACGATTTTTTGAAGGAGTGGAGACTGGGTGAGCATCTAACGGAGGAGGGAAGCAAGTTCCACAGGAACGGTGCAGCCCTCGAGAAATCTTGAAGGCGAGCATCAGAGGTGGGAGTACGGACAGAAGATAGACGTAAGTCTTCAGCAGATCGTAAGGGCCTAGACGGGACATACTTGTGTATAAGGGAGGATAGATAGGTGGGAGCAGCATTATGTAGAGAATTGAAAGCAAGAACCAGAATTTTAAATTGAGCCCTATATTTTATAGGAAACCAATGTAGGGACTGACAGAAGGGTGCGGGCGGACAGGAAGATGAGCCTCGCCGCCGCATTCATTA